CCACTACCCCCCTGAAAGGGGGATAAATAAATCCTTGTCTTCAGAAGGTACCACTTGAAAGATGGTATTGCTTGGTATAATTCAACAGTACCAGCATAAACCATAGGGGACAGTTTCTGCCTGAAAGCTCTTCATGAGATCTGCAGGATGTGGGAGACTAATAATGTGTGGGTTTGTTTTTTGCCACAAACCACAGCTGTAAAGAACCCATTACTCTGTACTAAATAGAAAAGTCCTTATCCCTAGATGTATTTTCTATGAAATCATAGCCTGCTACTGGAGAGGGCCCAGCTGCTTGGTTGAATGCCTTCAGACCACCTCTGCATCTTCCCTAATCAGCCAAGCCCTAGATAAGGGTGTCCTAAAAGCAGCCGAGGAACAGGTCTGTAATCTTGGAAACTGGTCTTTCCTGGGAACACACACAAGCACATCCAAAGTGCTGTGCCATATTCTTTCTGAAATGATGGGCATAAGTGGAATCTCAAGTGCATTAGTGTCATTTAAAGAATGGCAACCATTAATTAGCAGGTTTTATTTGTTGTATTTCTTGTCGATGTACCAGAATTCATTTCTAAGACAATCTTATTTCCCAGTGAGTAAACTGTCTCATCTCTTCTATGTTGACTTATTGCATGATAAAGGACCTTGCATTTGTACAGGGAATCTGAAGCTTCTCTTCAAGAGAGGACAAGAGACACTGAGCTTAGTTGTTTCCATGTCACTTCTGGAACTGCATAAAAAATGAACCAGGGTTTAAATGACTTCCCTGTATGCAAAAGAAAATATTGGTAAAGCAGAGATCTGCACGCTTACTAAAAATCATAACTTTATAGAGCTTTTGACCAATATTTTATAGTTATTTTGAATGTAAAAAAATAGCAATTTAATAGATGTTATTTTTAAAGAATTAGGCATATTTTCCTCCTTGCACTATATTTGAATTGCTGCTTTTACTCTAAACCACAATGCAGGTTACACGCAGCACCTAAGACCACAAATTAGTATAGTTTTGCAAGTGTGTAGGTGTTGCACTGTTGACTCCATATGTATTGAAAACTATTTTCTTGGCTGATTTTGTTGCCTTTTAATCACCTGTTAGAGAAGACAAACCAGTACTATAGAGATGATGTTTTGTATGACACTAGAAACATTTACAGCAGGCAAGAAACCTTTTCTGCACAATGGAGCTGGCCCTACTGCTGCATCCTGGTCACTCTGAACCTGCCCTGCATAGGACCCAAGACCCTATTGAAGATATCTGCCTCCTAAGGCATTGCAATGGTTGCTCTTCTGTCATGGCTTGGCTGTAGTAATTTCATTTACAAAGTAGTCTGAGCCAGGAGACCTCCTGTGTATTTGCTCTGATGAGGACACCCTAGTTACAGGTAAGGAAAGCTTCAGAGCAGCAGAGAAAGATAAGAAAAGGATCTGTGAACTGAGAAAAGAAACATTTGGCACTACAACAGGGAGACCTGAGACATCGCAGGACTGAGCAGAACAGAGCTATGATGTTGTCAGAGGAGTGCACAGGTATGTTTGTCTTTTCTATCTTTTATTACTTTTGGGCATGGTCCATCTTGTTGACTGTGTTGTATTGATGTCTGTTGGTTATGGAAGGGTGAAAAACAAAGCAGCATATCCCAGTTCACACAGTGATGTGCACAGGGATGTGCACAGGGATGTGCTTTATGTAAGTGCAGTGAGAGAGCTTAGAGACTATCCAACCCAGAGACCAAGGAACAAAGACTCATTTAGTCTTCAAAGACTATCCTTTGCTGAAGTGTACATTCCTGTACTTAGTGAAGCAGTGTTCTTCTCAGAGCTCTACAGTGCACTGCAGCCTGAAAAACAAGGTGTTCAAGTTCAGGTCTAGATCTTTTGCATACTATAATAGAGTTTGCCACAGAGAAATGGGGACTACACGGATGGTTATTTGATCATCTGTGTAGGATCTGCCTTATGCCACTGCAGAATAGGTTTTTTTCACTCTTTCTAACCATTGATCTTTGTTAAAGAGACAAAAGTGTCCTTCAGTTGTTTTCATCAGCTTTTGTTTGTTTCTGTAAACAACAAAAGGCAACTGTTGAGGGCTGTATTCACTGTTGGCAATGAAGATCCCACTTTTTCTTTCCCATTGTCTTCCTCAATTTGCTAGCTAGTGACAGCATATAGAGAATTGCTCTCTGCTTTCTCACACAATTGTCCCAAACCAGTTTGGTATGCCTGCACCCAGGAGTGTATTCAATCTGTTACCAAACCCTATGTAGCTAGTATAGTTTGTTGCTGAATTATAGCTAAAACACCCCTAGAAAAGCTATTTTAATTGTGAGAAAATGAATTCAGAGTCTGTCTCACAAACCTGAGTCTCAAATGTTGCTAGGGAAATGAAGGGCTGGACAGAGAAGCAGTAACTAGAATGTGTCTGATTTCAGATTGCTGTATCCAGGAGAGTACCTCTGTCCACACTGGCTGGACACCCCAAGACTCTTCTTCCCTAATTTTCATTGCCATTTTGCGTTCTTTCCCAGGAGGCAAAAGTCTTGGCCCTTCTGCTACCCATTCCTGCCACTGAGGAGCAGCAGTGAACAAGGGCTAGTAAGTCAGACCCACCTCAAGGGGCGGCCAGGGTTAATCCGTGGGTGACTCCAATGTGCTCCAAGTGAGCTGTGCCAGTGTTCTAGCTCAACCCTTTGCAGCTCCCACTCCTCAGTGGTTTCCCTCTCTCCGTTCCCCCCAACTCCCTATACTAGGAAGGAAACCCTTCAGTTGGATGGGGAGCAGAACCAACCTAAGGAGGAACAATGACCAAAGAATATGCTGCAGCTTGTAAACCAAAACCTCCCTAGGGGCTGCTACTAAAAGGTGATGAGAGAGAATTCCTATGCCAATAGGCATCTGGCTTCCT